CTTACCAGATGCTATCATATCATTGACATATCCAACTTGCGTCTTATTCCACTTCATTTCATATGGTCATTAATAATTTAAAATAATTTTCTAGTAATTTTCAAAATAAAAAATTTAAACCTGTGGTAAAGTTGGGTGCTTAAACTACTTCTACTAAAATGAGTGTTAAAAAAATAACCTTTATATAATTTTGGTGTTAATGTCTTTTTTTTCCTTACCAGATGCTGTCAGATTAAAATTATGCAGTTTGCATCATTTTCCTCTTGATTTGATATCATTAAGATGTTTGTATTTTCAAAAATTAAAAAAGCCATCCAAATTTGGGCAAGTTTGAGTTTTCAAACCGTAATGTCTTGAATGTCAGTGTAACATAAAAAATTTCTGCAAAACTTTTCTAGGTCCTCATGGATTGTTAAAATTGTAAGTTAAAAAAATATTGATTTAAAAAATTGATAAATGCAAGTAAGTATAATTTTTAAACAATTTTTAGTTTGTTGGAAGTGAGGGGGGGGGGGGGGGGCTAGGTGTAAGTACAAACCTAATCCTCTCTAGATTGAAAAAAACAAGTGCTTCACAGATGCAGAAAAAAAGTTGAGATGTATCAAATCAGCATTTAGTTTTGTGTTTGCTGCCTTTTAAAGGAAGTCCAATCTGCCAGAGGAACATCATTCCTGAACAAAATCCTCAGCATGGTTGGTAATATGTGGTTTTGTTTCTATTTTTCAAATCTTACTGATTTCCATTCTCTCTCCCATCTTTGTCAACATACAGCCACACAGTCCCACAACCACCATGGCAACAATCGACAGCAACACCATGGAAGCAGCCAGGCACTGATGGATGCTGGGAGTTGGAGTTCAACACTTTTGTTTGTGGTCTTGTTTTTCATGTATGAGCCAGTTAAATATGTTACTATAAATGTTTGGATTAAAATAATTAGTATAATTAAAACGATTAGACCATATAGATTTAATTCTTTGTTCTTTATTCCTGAATAAAAATCATCAATGCACGGTTGGCAAAGGCGTGGGAGTCTTATTTTGAAATAGCCGGCTCCGTGAACCGGAAGTAAGTTGGACATTTGTTAGCCTTTCAGATAGGCTAACAAAGCAGGTCAACAGAGACGACGATATATTGAAGACGGGATTATTACGGCATAATCAGACAACGTGATGTAACCTAGCTGCTAACAGGCAAACAACATCACGTGACGAACGCCCCAACATTAAAAGACGAGATTACGTGTCGACAGGGTAACAACAGACAACAGCGTGTGTCGGCAGAGAGTAACAACAGACTGAGACAGCAGCGCATGTCGACATAGGGTAACGAAAGACTGAGACAGCAGCGCATGTCGACAGAGAGTAACGACGGACTGAGACAGCAGCGCATGTCGACAGAGAGTAACGACAGACTGAGACAGCAGCGCGTGTCGACAGAGGGTAACGACAGACTCGGACAGCAGCGCATGTCGACAGAGGGTAACGACAGACTGAAACAGCAGCGCATGTCGACAGAGGGTAACGACGGACTGAGACAGCAGCGCATGTCGACAGAGGGTAAAGACAGACTGAGACGACACCATGTGACAACAAGGCTGGAGAACAAAATAAGACAAATCAGATAAAAGCAACTCCTGACAAGTTATAACAACTGACCAGACTACATCACGTGACAACAGAAGACAAGTTCTGTACAAAAGTGAAAATACATTAGAAGAGCATAACATTACAGCAACGCAGTGCAGTGTGCGTCCAAATACATAGACACGCACATAAATACATAGACACATTTTTGGCACATTCGGAACCTCATACAGTAGGGGTAAGAATAGCCTTCCTTTAAAGGGCCTGAGTCATGCTATTTTACAATGTCCAGAGCAAGTATAGCCACAATATATGATACAGTATTACCAGTGGCACCATTACAGTAAGAACGTGTAGTTTTTACCATTAATCTCTGGAAATATCTATTGAAATGTTGTTGCAAATGATGAACACACCACTCAAATCAAGTGGTGAATTTGGGGTGGGGGTGTGAGCCCAGACAGTATTCATGGCAACCTGGTGATCCTACCAAAATAGCGGTTTGACCCACGGTAACACGTCGGGTCTGGGCACAAGCTTGTAATGAGCCTGCGCATCTTCACGTTTTTCCGAATTTCTCCCTCCAGCTGGTGAGACTACTGCTGATATGAATCATGTCTGCTACCGATTCAGCATTTCCTGGACATTCATCCACAGTCTCAACAAACAGCAACAACTTTATTTCAAGATGTCCTCTAATTATATCTTTGTCAACTACTTCGTAGTTCTGAAACACGTTACTCTTGTGAGTCGACAGCTGCAGCGCTGTTTAGTGAGGGTTATGGTGGCTTTTATCTTGTAAATCTGTTTGGCTTTGCTGCACACACACACACACACACACACAAAGAGATGTATCCACTTGTTTATATTGGAGCCGTGAATGGCTTAAAAGTGGGCAATTTTGAATTAAAAGATGTGTAAAATTAGACTACATGTGGAGAAAATATCAAGTCTTTTTGTGGCATTGCCACATTACATCAGTGTTAAAATAAAAGAAAATATTTAATATTAGTTGCACAGAGGATATGACAAAATGGTCTAAACAATTACCAGAGTATAATCCTAAAACTGTGCCACTGTGATTTTCTTTTCCACTGTATGTAATTGGGTGGTTCTGGGTTGTTCATTTATTTATCAGTGTATTTGTGTTGTTTACCACACCCGGGCTATTAAGAGAGGGCTGCGTCAGGTGTGGAGAGAGAAGAAAAAAGACTGAGCACGGATGGGTGTGGTGCAGGTGTCAGCGTGGATCTGCTGCAGCCTGATTAGTATGGGGCCAATTCACTGACTAAAGTGGTCGTACTTGTAAACTGAAGATTCGTGCGTGGTAGTCAACGGTCATGCATAATATTAATGACTTGTACCCAAAGCTGAGCTTTTGTAAACTCTTGCCTCTGAAAATAAGATTGAAAAATCTAAAACACTAATCAATTACGAGTATGAAGTAAAAGTTTATCAATACGAAGTGAAATTTTACGACTGTGACAAAAGACGACTCTCCAGTTATGAATAAGAATTATGTGCTGCCAAAACAGTGACACCTGATGACGTCAGGGTCACAGGCATTATGCGTCGAGCAAAGAAACAACGATCTTCTAGCATGCGTTTCCAGTGTTGCCAACTCGGCGACTTTGTCACTGTTCCTAACGACTTTTTGACCCCCCTCAACGACTTTTTTTCCAAAAAGCGCCTAGCGACAAACTTAGCGACATTTCTCAGGACCCGTTGCTACTTTCTGTAGAACTTTCATGTAGATATTCCCTACAGATTAGCGACAAAGAAACCGTTTGCACTCTGAACCGTTCTTCCGGGAGTAAGGAAAGAGAACGATAATCTGCGCATGTGCACGAGGACTGACCAATCATAAACCGTTTTCGGCCGGTCTGATTCGCTGAAGCTGCAGAGCTGGAGACCGCCGATTTACGTCTGCTGCTTTCATATTGCTGCAGGCTCACGCTTCTACTAGAGACGGCGCGGGCGTCAACCTGCCATCTCTGGTTCTGCAGCCGTCAGACACTTTGGTTTTTCCTGCATTTGGCAAATAAAGTCATCGGGAGTTTCAACTACCGTCCCGTTTACACACGCAGCTCTGTGGCTCATCTGAATTTCCTTCAGTGACACAGGGATGGTTATACTATGAGACACCCGCTCCCTTTTGCTCGGAGCGCCGTTATTATCACGATGGAGAGAATACACAACAGAGAAGTTGAGAAACTATGAGGTGTAAAAAAACAGCTTTTTAGGAAAATGTCTGTGAGAATGAGGAGAGCAGGAGGTCTGAGTTATATCCTACAACAGAACTGTTTGGATCACCACACCATATCTGTTTTAATGCCACTTTATTGGTAGTTTTGGAATTTATTGTACATATCAAAGCAATTTGGGCCATTTTAATCATACTAATTAATAACTTTAACATGTAACATAGTATTTATTTTCCTCCCTTTTAGTCCTATTATATATATATATATATATATATATATATATATATATTAGATGCCATAGGGAAAACGAACGCTAATGTGGCGTGATGACGTCATCAATATGTAAATAAGCACGTGACGTCATCTGGCGACATCTAGTGACTTTTGGGGGGAATTTCAGCTACTTTCAGTCAAAAACAGTTGGCAACACTGTTAAGCGTTTCCCGTTTTGCGCTCTCAGCGGCAACATGGAGGACGGAGAGAACCAAAACACAGGAGGAAGTCAGGTAAAACAACATTTGTTGATCTTTTTAAAGCAGACTGCTGACATATTTCGGTTCCAGGATTGCTATGATGTTGCGTTAATATTGATTGTACTCTGTAGTTGTGCTTGTTTTTTAGTTTTGAGTCACTTTTTTTCCCACTTTCTTTGTTCGTCAGGCTCAGTTATCGGCCATTCTAGACACGGCAAACAGTCTGGTGTCGATGCTACACCGCAGGTTAAGCAGACAGGGAAATACACGACAGCCAGATGAGGGACAGGCAGAGCAAATAGCGAGTCCTCGGCAGACTGCCCAGCCCAGCGGGTCCGGGGTCTCCGGACAGTCAGTGCATCAAGAAATGGCTAGGTGTAACTGCAGTGCTGCAAATGAGTTTATGAAATTTACACGTTTAGTATCGATGAATAATCAAGCTTACTTTCATTTTTAGATCGTTTCCTGGATTTTTTCGGAAACAAGCAAAAGGCAAGAAACGTTTTGCACCATATGCACGACCTCAAAAGACTGTTTTACTTCACTTTTTTTTGCTTGACAAAGAACATGAAAAGACCCCCCAAGCAGATGTGGAACTCAAGCTTACATTGGCTGGACTTGGGAAATGTTCTCTGACTGTAGGTGAAAGCGTCACACATTCAGAGGTATTTATTTTTAAAACATCAGATGCACCCTCAAGGTTAATTTTGTTGTGATTATATTGTTTTATTTTTAAATTATTTGTACGTGCAAAGGAATGTACAATTTAGCTGTATGTTAATTACAATAATCCAGCTACGTTATGTGTAATGTTGTTTTATTAGTTGACAGATTTGCTTTTGAAGGCATATCCAAGACTTGGAAGTATCTGTGGTGGCTGGATGCTGCATAAGTCTACAGGTGTTTTGGGGCTTCAAATGTTGTTTTTACCTACAGCATTCTCCTAAACCTCCTTATGGTTACTGTAGATGTTTTTCCATTTCCAGGCGGGGGTGGGCAGCGCAGATTAGTTGCTATTCCTCCTGATTTAGATGGATACAATGGTCAGCAGCTGAAAGGAGTTAGCGGAAATGGAAAGTACACACTCTACATAGCTCCTTTACAAGAAGAAATTGACAAGACTCCATTACCACCAGAAGCCAAAGAGTTTGAAAACATGCCCAAGGCCCCAAGCAGCACCTGCAGAAAGATGTTTCCACTTCAGATTCTTCCTGTGCACATCAAAAGCTGCAAGGAGAATATAGACCTGTGTACTTCATCTGAGAATGTATGTTGAATCTCAGGCTGTCAGTCTTTTGGGGATTTGCTTCAGCTGCAGGTTTTGTGAACTCAAATGTTATGCTGTTTTTTTACAACAGGAAAACGACATGTGGGAATGTACGCTTCCAGTGTGCTCCGAAAAACAGGAAGAGGTTAGCATGTAATTGTATTAGTGCAATGATAATCTGTACTAGTGTGTTAACTACCGGTAGTCATTGAGCAGAGTTGTAGTTGTTCATTGTATATAAATAAGTGTTGTAAATTAATATTTTTAGACTGCCGAGTGTCCAGTGTGCAGAAAAACATTCGACATTGATGTCATTGAAAGTCACGCATCAGACTGTGGATTACGGTACTCAAACCATACATATTACACAAATTCAGAATAAAAAAAAAATAAAACTTTTGTGAATAGCTAATCATTATTTTGCTTTTTTCATGTGTGCAGAAGTATGTATCCTGAGAACAACGTGCCAACTGAAGCAATACATTCCTTTCAAAGGTAAACTCTAAAGTAGCAGTTATACTAGTGTTGAAATATACTGCAGATGTTAGTGGATATAAAAGTCTACACACCCCTGCTCAAATGACACCAATTAATATAAATCCATAACTATTCTACCTTTAATGTGACCTATAACCAGCACAGCGGCATCGAACAACAAACTAAAACCTTAAAAGGGTAAAAGTATAAAATAAATACATTTTTAAAAACTTGTATAAAAACTTATATTTGGGGCTTATTAGAAGCTCTTTAATTGGTAAAAGGTGTGTGCTGACTTCAGCTTAACATTAATTTAAATGTAACTGGTTAAATCTGAACACAGTCACATCCCCAGTCATAAAACAGTGTTCTCATCTGTGCAACCAAATTATCTCAGTTTGTTTAATACACCTCTGATGTATTTCTGTTCATCAGTGGCGTTGTGCAGGTTGTAGGTCACATTAAAGATGGAAAAAGTTGTAACATTATTTGACTCACCATTTTTTTACATGACCAAAAACTTGCATTTGAATAGGGGCGTGTAGACTTCTATCATCCACTGTATATTTAGCCTTTTACTTATATTGTATGCTTTTGGTTTAAAGCTCAGTGGACGTTTTGAATTGGATCCAGTGTCAAGTGGAGGAGGGCAGCACGTTTTACCTGTGCGTGTCTAGAAGTGACATCTTCAAAAGAGGAATGCAACAGTGGCAACGGCAGAAAAAATCCTCACCTAAAAGCCGATTGAAGGTTTCATTTATTGGGGAAGTAGGCATAGACTCTGGCGCTCTCAGTAAGGAATTTCTAACAGGTACAGCTCCATAACACTGCAGTTGTACTCGCTTTCGTGTAACATCAGATTTTGAGTTTATGTCTTTGTCCAGAGATGCTTGCAGAGATTGAAAGGACCCTTTTTGTGGGCAACGCGGACAAGAAGGGAAAGATTCCGCTTCACGCCGGGGACACACCGGCCGCGGAAGCGCCGAGAAGCGAATCGCTCACGAAATTCGGCCGCTGCTCGCCGCTCCTCAGTTCACATCAGACGCGCCCCAGTCGAGGCGCGCCTCGGCTCAGCTGTAGTTTTTCTTTTAAACACTCGGTGTCCTCCATTTCCTCTCTGCCTTTCCTCAGCTCTTTTCCTCTACGTTTGAGTGTGTGTGTGTGTGTGTGTGTGTGTGTGTGTGTGTGTGTGTGTGTCTGAACCTATGGTATGAGTTGTTTCTGCCAGTTGAATCTCTTGGACCCCGCTCCAATTCTGCAGCTGTATCCTAGCAGTTTCTCTTAAATGGGTACGTAAATAACCGTTTTTCGGGAGTCGTACAGCTCCTCGTGTTTCTCAACTTCCATAATTCATTTAAAGTCATTCATCCTAACTGCTTGCCTCAGACTTTCTGCCTCTCTGTCCTGTTTGCTCCGGTGAAAAGACACCCTAAACCACACACCCCCCTTCACGTGGTCACACACGCACACAAGTTCGATGTGTGTGTATGTGTGTGCGTGTTCGTGTGGTTTTTCTGCAGTGTCTGTTTACGAACACATTTGACTATTGCGGAGTTTTATTTTGAAATGCTTTATTTTGTTAACTTTACCGGCATGCCTCTTGTGTCTACGTTTGACTTCCTGCCAGAATTGACGCGATTCACCCGCGGCTCGCGAAAAAAATAGAGCCAACGCCGAAATGATCGCTGCACGGCGCGGGCTAGAGCGCCGGCGCGCGCCGGCGCGAGGCGCTTCGCGGCGCGAGGCGGCCCATGTGGTCTATAGAATAGCTTAACAAGGGCGCCGAATGAAGGCGGTCCCATTTTCGCGGCGCTTCGAGGCGCTTCCGCGGCCAGTGTGTCCCCGGCCTTACTGTCTCCACAGTCTGGATCAAAACTACTTCAGGTTCATTGTATAGAACTCACATTTTATGCAATTCCATTGATTCATAAATGCTACCTGTATTTAATACAATGGCTGTCACCAACAGTTAATTTCCATTGATTGCCATCTATGAACTTTTTTCCCCCAATTGAGCAGATTAGGGAATGATAGATAGCCTGCCTTAGGAGAGCTTATCAGAAATATAATTACAGGATGTAATGACAAATGCATCTTGTAGTTGGAAATGTAACTTACTGTAGGATGTGTGTGACGCTTTTCTACAAACTCAATGTTTAAGTCAGAAATTGGTGTTATTGGTATAACCAGCCTATGTTCTGCTGATTCTTAAAGAACAAATAAAGAAATATTTTTTTTCCTGGTGACAATATTTTTTTTCTGATAGTTTTGTTGATTAGATTGTTACAAAGCAACATTTTTAGTGGCCCTTTAACGACTGTTTTTTGAAACCTGGACCTTGTTTTTTGCATGCATAATGTTAACTTACTTTTACAATAATTTATAGTAAATTTAATTCAAATTCAAAAATAATATATGGATCACACAGGGAAATTCAGTTTAGAACAAAAAATGAATATTCTGCACATTACAAATAAGATCCAAGTTGCAAACCAAAAAATTGTTACCCTTTTGTCAGTCAAAATGCTCAAAAACTCTGGCAGAATTTAGTGCATTGTTCTGATAACAGCTGGCAGCCAATGAGTTTAAGTGCTGTTGTATTTTTTGTTCTGATATGTAGGTCTGCAGGAGAAATTATAGCTGCTAGTCTGGCGCAGGGTGGACCTCTCCCCAACTTCTTACGCGAGTGGTGCTTCAGGTACTCTGAGATTCAGATGCCATACAAGTGTCAAGCAGTGATGTCACAGATGCAGAGTTGTCACAGCTTATCCTGAAGGTAATGAACCCTGAATGTTAAAATTATATTATGTACTCTGACATTTACTTGCACATACAGTCATGTGGAAAAGACACCCTCTGAAAAACAGTTTTTTTTGGGGGGATGTTTTTAACTTATCACTTTCATTCACCATTTTCATTCACCTATGTATAATTGTATCTGTTGTTACACATCCCAGAGTTAGACAAGTGAGAAAAGAAATTGAGTAAAAGGATTTTGTTACCAGCCCTGTCATTCTATTGATCTGGCAGCAGTCAGTTTTTCTTTTTAGCATAAAACAATGATAGTGAATTAGCTCAGAATAGATTACATTTAAAATTCATTGGATGTCTTTCATTTGAATGGAAGGTACTAGCATCCTAGAACCTGCTCCCAGATCAGGAGAATGACTGGGCTAGTTACAAAATGTATTGCTCTCACTTATGTAACTCAGGGGAATCTAACAACACACATAATTGTACTTGTCGCTTTAAGCACCTTCTGATTTACACTAGAATTCATGGTGGATTTTATGATTATGAATCATCCAGGTCCTAATGCTACCAAGCAGCGCAACAGTCCAGTACCAGAGTCATATGCAGCTACAATGTTGTTTTTGAGGCACCTGAGAGCACTTCAATCTCAACACACTCCCATTTCTAGTCAGAGGGACACCCACAATGTCGGAGGTTATAAAAGGGAATTCTCCATTTACATTGCTGAGATTTGTTTTTGTTTACATAGTATGGTATACCTGTGTGTGGTTAGGGCCATTTAAAGATTAAATAAAAATAGGGGTTGTTTTTCTTCAGTTAAATGCTTTCTACTGTATTTTTTTACATTTCATTGAAGTCCTTGAAATTATTTTACTTTATTTCTGTTGGGTTATTTTATTTTACTAAATTGTAGCAACGATGCACGTTTTTTCATTACTGTAATTGAATGAAGATGTATTAATTATGCTTTCAGATAAACACCGCCACTGAGGAAAATATCAACGACCTTAGCGATGATATTGTAAGCTGTGGATACACTGGAAAGGTGTCTGTAGAAAAAAAAAGACCTCATAATCAGGTAGTTTAACATCCAAGCTGTCTGATATATACACTAATGGTTACAAAACTGTATTGCTTAGTAAACTTTTATGATCTGATTAATTAAAATCATCATGTAGTGCTTTTTACAAACTACTACTAGCGTAGTACTTGCTTGCCTATAAAGTCTGACTTTTGTTTTAGGGCGATTGTGCTTCATTCCAGCGTGAGAGTTATCCCCATGCTGGACCAGCTGAGAAAGGGTCTTCAACTATATGGCCTGCTCAGTGTTCTGAACCAACACCCAGAGCTTGGTCTGCCACTCTTTGTTCCAGGGGATGATGATGACAGGGTAATTAGGTTTAAATTTGCTATGTTTGCCCTTGTTTACTAAAAGTGAGTTTTGTACAGAGTTGGTTTCATTGTTATTGTAGGTGGATGCTGCCTTCATTATGGAAAAATGGCAACCTGTGTTCAGTGAGAAGGGCTCTCTGAAGTACACTAGAGAGGTCAACATTATGAACTTTTTTCAGGACTTCCTACAAGAGACTGAGGATCGAGGTAAGTTTGAGCTATTATATAATTACCGATTGTTATGGAGGGGGAAGATTGATGAACTCATCTAAAATTGATTAGCGCACCAGCAGCTTGAGAAGTCTTTCCTAGTGTGATGGAGTTTACTTGTTGATGTATTAACCTAGTTTGTATTTCACAATATTGCCTGTGTTTTTATTACAGAGCAAGCTGACCAGAGTGATGCGGACAACAACGGCACCACACAGGAGCTGACTGTTGGCAGAATCATGCAATGGATAACAGGGCAGGCAGACAAGCCTAATTTACCAAGCGAGATGAATGAGTTCATCATATCTGTCCATTTCTACCATGACTGTGACACACGTCACACCATTTGTTTCCCAACAGTGAGTGCATGTACTCGTACCATTACATTTCCAGTTGCTCACCTGACAACCTTTGATGAATTCAAATACATAATGGAAATAGCAATGTCTCATGGTCAGTCCTTTGATAGGGTACGAATCTCAGTTCTTGCAGAAATTACACTACAGTTAACAGAGCCAAGTTTTTTTTTTCTCTTGATGTGCTGTTTTGTTGTTTACACATGCACACTCATTTTGTAGTTTGTCTCAACAACATTAAGTGACTGGGTGATGGATGGATGAATGAATGGATGGAGGAATGAATGGGCGATGGATGGATGAATGGTTAGTTGCACTTGACTATGTTCCATTACAGCACAAATGTGCCATTTTACAACTGTTTACATGTGTTGAAAGAAATGGCCTGTGAAGTTTCATACCACTGCCATAGTTCTACATCCAAATGTTTTAAGCCAGACTGATTTAAATTTTACAAACAGTTAAATGTAGTTACAAGATGTGCTTTAGTATTTGTCTGAAAATAAGCTGTGTAATAAAATTGACAAATTGAGTTACTGGTTTGTTGGTAGTCATTTATTTAAAGCAGAGCAGTATATTTCAATGACAAATCAAGGCATTTCATGTTCTCAATTAAATGTGTTGCATTACAATATGTTGTATGTTCAAAGCAAAACAACCCAACTGCTGATGTAGACGGCCACACATGACAAGACCGCACATTAGTTTGAAGTCTTCAAGAGCTGCAGTAGACCCCTTGACGTTTTAAAGTTGTCATTGTAGTGTGGGCAGAATTTTGGGTTTGTATTTCGCTATATTATTACGTCAAGGTTTTGTTAGATTCTTAACAGTGAACCTACTGTGTGTGTAGTGCTACAAAGTTCAGTGCAGCCCTGTAAATGTCTCTGCCATTGTCCTGGGAGGGAGCAGTGGGGGAGATGGCTGTCATCAGTCCTGCTATAACTTGGGGCCCCACAGAATGCTGGATGGGTGGCACAACTATTCCACTTCCAGGTTCTTCTCCCAAACTGTCAGCATTCCAGTCTATGTTGTCTTGAATAGTCTGTAAAAAGCAATTAATCTTTTATTATATAATAAAATATATAAAAACACTTTGTAGTATCTAATTCTGGGATATATATATATATATAATTAAAAATAAACATTTGTTGTTATATTTCCCAGAATTTGATAGGACAAATAAAGCATTTTGTAAGTAGCCCAGTCATGATCTAGCAGCAGACTTTTTGCTTTAGTTTAGCATGAGATAATGTAAGTGAATAGAATTAATAACTAGCGTGTTGTTATTACCATTCGCTTACATTATTTTATCAGGACAATGATCAGGAAGATGACTCGGCTGGTTACAAAATGCTTTGTTCGGTCTTATTTCATTCTGGGAAGTATAACAGACAAAATTTTACTTGGTGCTGGAGTGTCACTTTGATGGGTAGCACATTGGAAAATGCCCCGATGATTTTAAAATATCATTTCAAAACTTATCCTAACACTTGTGACTGAAACAGAAAAGAACTTAGGCTGAGCATGCTGTACCTCCACACTTGCTGGAGGAGCCACAGGATGGTGAAGAAGCCCCATAGCCCAGAGTTGATTCGGAGTCATGTTTTCCTCCATTCGTAGTGGGTGGTTGTCCCATCCATCTTTGAAAAGGTCAAGGTCCATGTGGAGTCTTGGTATGAAGACATATTGACAACAGAACAAGTGCAAACTGTTGGAAGGGTCCAACAGGCCCTCCTCCTCAAGGCTATGCAGCACCTCATAATAAACACTTGTAACAGCCATCCATATGTCACGCCACAAGAGCTCAATCCTACAAGATGAAAACATGCAAAATGGGTTTGTCAACCATCTCTGCAAAACAAAATTACCTCTCAAATAACTAAACAGAGTATTAAGGTACAGCCAGGCAATTATTTTAATACCCCTTTAAAACATTAAATTATTATTCACCTTTGGTTGTGCACACTTTTGCCAGATATGTAGCTTCCCCTGCCACATCCACGGATGCTGAACATGCAGTTGGCAATGCCAACATTTTCAACGCCTTGGTCTCCCCTTACCCTGTTTAAATACAAGTAGTTTGTCAAACATAAAATGTTGTGCAAAAAAAACATGTAGAGAGAGGAGATTGGTCACTCGACCTTTATCATGTTATAATTAAACACGTGTATATGGGGGGAAATGCATGTTGGGGTGGAAACACATGGGGGGGGGGGGGGGTATGGAGCTACTTGTATAAAACAATGTAGGTGATCAAGGTTAGTGCGGTGAGTGACGTGGCAGAGTTACATGAGTGAGTGAAGTGGGGGAGCAAGGGAGTAAGTGAGTGGATGCTGCTGAGTGAGTTGAGTGAGCAGAATAGGATAACAAGGGGAAAACTGCAGATTAAAGGAACCTCTTTTTTTACCTTAATGGAAATCCAAACTCTTCCACAGAGGTCATGAAGAACTTCAGAGCAGTTGAGGCCTTATTATTATTTGCTGCACAGAGATACATTATCTGCAAGAACATGCCTCAATGTCATTCATAAAATAATGATGAGATATACCGCAGTCAGAAAATGTAAATAATTTTTTTACCTTTCTTGAATAACCGTCAATCCCACCGAAGATTACAATTCCATATCTGTTGGGAAACACCATGTTTTAATTATTTTGAGATGTAATGCATGTATCTTTTTGGAAACAAAATTTAAGAGTGAGACCAGGGCCAGAGTGGGGACTTATTTTCAGCCCTGGAGTTTCATGCCACAGACATGCCCACTTATATTGCAACCTATTATTTAAATCTTGCAAATGTAACCTTATATGCTAAAGCTACAACATTATACTTTTCTAAAAAACATGTCTTCAATGGCCAAACAAGCTTTTTTGGATTACTTTTATCCTCCTCTTTCAAATGTGGACTTTGGGTATCGTATCAATTTGAATGAAAACAAATCTAACAGGTCATTTAGGCATACTAGGTGCTCACATTTTAAGTAACGCCTTCTTGTTTTCACACCTGTTCCTTCCACACAAGAGAAATCGCCTCACTGACTTCTGGCTCTGCTTCTGATACTAAATCGGATTAAAACTTGTCCAAATTCTCACCGATGTGCCATTTTGCTAAGCTTATGATTTATTCATCTACGTTTTGAATCAGCTGGCATTGCTGGAATTGTTTTATACAGAGCAGGTCTACACCCTGCTCTTCATGATAAATAATGCTAAAAATATTCACTCAATCAGCAAACCAGCCCATCTGAACCTGTGGTCTCATTTCACCTGGTGCAGGATTTAAATTCTAACTCTGAGAAGTCAAGACAACTTTGTGTGAAATCACATCAAATATGTTAGCTGCCACAAAATCTCACAATTCATTGACTTGATAATTAACTCATTTTGGTTTGCAGGCTTAGTTCAATATGCTGTTTTAACCATTTTGTCATTGTTAGTTGTCACAAACAGCCAGGTTGTTGTAGTGAAAAAATAGCTATTTTAGCTAATTTAACAGTCAGGTCCCATAGCTTTTTTCTTTTTAAATAAAGCATGATTACCCACTCCTGAATTGTATGAATATATAAACATACAGTCTTAAACAAGGCAGATAGGCAAGTCTCTCTCTTTTTCTCTCCCACAAACAAGCTGAGATTTACCTAATTAATTTATGATTTGTGTCCACATGAACCAGAGACTGTGGACCTTTGACAGAGTAGGTCCTTCTAGCAACACAACGCAAATGTGCTGTTCTCTCCAAAATACCAGCTGAATCCACCCGATGCATCGATGCTGAAACTTGCTTCCATTTGACACGGTGACCCATGGCTTGTAGCTGTCCCTTCATCATTCTGTATCCAATGTGTGGCATCCTCTGTTTAACTGATCGCACAAGAGTATCCAGTTCCTCTTCAGTAACATTGCTGTATGATTTTTTACAGGAAAGATCAAACTCCTGCATTCGTCTAAGCACTGTCCTTTCGCAGACGCCCAAGAGTTTAGCAATGCTTGGAATGGACAGTGACAAATCAAGAAGGTTTTGTAGACAGTCTTTAGAAACCTCAAATTTGGGTCGCCCCATGAATCCACCCACAACCTCCACATAAGCAGAAGGTGGTCTGTCTTCCCCTCGTGCGTTAAGGAGTCCTAGAAGATTGGACATGGCAGAAAGAATATCCTCTGGAAATTCTACCACATTAGCAAAAGCACGTATGAGTCCCATCTCACGATTTAAAACAAAATGTAAACAGTCCACATCTACAGGATAACGTTGCAATACTTCTTGGATCCTTCTCAGAAGTCGCTCCATAAACTGCATCCCAATGAAAGATACCTGCAATTCATATAAAAAAAACATGTGAGAATTTACATTAAACTTTCAAATAGTCAAATAACTTTACTCAAATGTATTGTTATCTTTAGTGGTGAGCAGCTGCCATATGCCATTTTTCTTTTATAATTCAGTAATTCTAGGAAATAATTTACGACAGATGTACATCCTGTAAATGGCCCTGCTGTACATATAGGTGATATGTGTGTGTGTTTTAATTCTACTTGTGTAAATAGTCTCTGTACCTTCGTCCCTCTTTGGTGCTGTTAGGACTATTGTATTGACTGTTGTATTCTTTTCTATTCACCATTAGTGCGGTCACCATCACTTGCACCACTAGGTGTCACTGTTAGCACCGCCAAAAAAAGACAGTAAAATTCAATAAAACAAAAAAAAACATGGCTTTTTATCATGTTAATAGGTGCACTTGAATCATTATATACCCGAGCCTTAAGGCTGGGACATTAGTTTAGCCAAGAGTAGTACAGTAAACTTCTCTTTTCACAATGAAGTAGACGAAAACGACACTAATTCTGAAAGAACTGAAATGTCAAGACACTGAGCGGGCTCTCTCGTACGATATAAGATGGACATGCACTTAGCTTCACCTCCCCAACATAATGAAGTAACTTAGCAATAAACTGTTACCTGAGTACTGCCAGCACTCCGGTTCTCTGCGTCAGCCATGTTGCCAAGAGGAACGCAAACAGTGAACGCACGCGTGTAGGATCGGTCTTCTTTTCCTTCTTCCTCTTCTTCTTCTGTTGATGTTGGCAATTAAATTTTAGATGCATTACCAACTCCTGTGTTTTGGTTCTCTCCGTCCTCCATGTTGCCGCTGAGAGCGCAAAACGGGAAACGCATGCGCAGTATAGAAGATCGTTGTTTCTTTGCTCGACGCATAATGCCTGTGACCCTGACGTCATCAGGTGTCACTGTTTTGGCAGCACATAATTCTTATTCATAACTGGAGAGTCGTATTTTGTCACAGTCGTAAAATTTCACTTCGTATTGATAAACTTTTACTTCATACTCGTAATTGATTAGTGTTGTAGATTTTTCAATCTTATTTTCAGAGGCAAGAGTTTACAAAAGCTCAGCTTTGGGTACAAGTCATTAATATTATGCATGACCGTTGACTACCATGCACGAATCTTCAGTTTACAAGTACGACCACTTTAGTCAGTGAATTGGCCCCATAGATTAGTTATCAAACTAAAGGTCTACC